ATATAAAGTTATTGGTTTTTATTTTTAAAGCAGATGTTTAGAGGACTTTTTCTTTTACAATTACAAGTATTCAATCCCTTCAAGGACTCCTGTCACTCTACTAAACTGTCCACTTCCATTCTGTTAACACAACAGCTATCAAAATCATTTTACATCAGCAGTAACTAACAGAGGTGTCACAGTAGCAGCTGATGAATTGTGACTATTTGACAAACCTTGGATCGCAGTCAATAAGTGCCCATCCTCCATGGAATTTTTCGTCATCTGGCAAGAGCAGCTTCATGTAGCTCTGCAACAGCTGGCTGATCAGTTCCTGATGGCTCCTCAGGTTCTCCTTGTGCAGGGCTTCGTGCTCTTTCTCTTTTGTAAATATGGAGTAAAGATCCTCTGTTACAGGGATACCCTGCATCAAATCTAAATAAAACACAAAACACCAGACAAGGAACCAACAGTTAAAAGTGATATACGGCAATAGTCTGTTGATTGCTTTGTACTTCCTTCCAAATGTTTCCTATCGAAGATACTCTCAAAAAGTGGTTATTCTTTCTGATATAATGTTGCCTGAAGCTAAAAACTCAGTAGGTATGATACTATTTTCTCTCAGTGAAAAGCAAGAGTTAACTCATCATTTTAAGAGATACTCACTAGACAAATTTAACTTTGTCTAACAGAGAGACCTTACAAGACAATCAACACTAAAGTGAAGTTAGAAGCAGATTCTACAGTGAGTTACGCTACATGTAATCGTTCCGATCTGAATGATATTTAATCTCCAAATGGAGAATGACTGGTCCATATGGTGCTCACTACAGACATGAACATTATATACAACCAAGGTGCTTTTAAGCTTCAGGAGAAAAAAAAAGAGAAAAAAAAATCAGTCAAAAAGATAAAGCCAAGATGATTTCAATAAACTTTTTAAAATACCATAGCTCAGCTCAGTTGAAGCTGTATTCTTACCTATGACCGCTTGCCTATAAGCATCCCTGAAACGATTCAAGTAGTATCTGTTTGCAGAATTCACTCCATCCTTCATGACCCCTGCCAGCTTTCTTTCACCAGTCCTCGTGAAGTCACCCTGTTACACAAGAACACGTGAATATCACACACGCAACCTTGAAGTAGCGGTCTTGGCTAAAAAGATCTGGCATTCTGAAACTCAGAACTGAACAGATGACAACTCGGAGATTATGTTCAAGTAACTACTTCATATAGAAGTTGAAAATCCTGCTTTTCAAGAGCATTTACTTTTCACTGCATTGTTTGACTGCAGAGAATCTTATGCTTTTGACAGACTGACAGATTCTATAGGGAGTCCTAATAGAAAACAGCAGTCTGGACATATGTGCCAGCTAATATTAAAGCAGAACTTCCAAGACATCAGTCACTGGGGTGCTTGAATGCCTAAACAAATCCCCATCGCCCATATTCCTTGGCCTTTAATGCAAAAGGAACACTACTGGAACAATGGAGAAGACTGGAGCTTACTAAAAAATCACTTTCATCTTCTCTGCTTTTGCTACCAAAACAAGACAAGCATAACATATTGAAGGAAAATAGAACATATCCTCACAAGCTCAGAAACAAAAGAAAGTTTCTAGGCCACAGAAGGCTTAGAATTTGAATAAAAAGCAGTGTTGGTAGTTACATTTCACTAGAGGATTCTATTTCAGAGAGAGTCTGAACATTGGCACAGAGCAGTTCTAAAATCCACATGAACTACTATGAAGAACGTTTCAAGTGTGTTTCAGTTTCAAATAAAAAGAAAGATCACAATTAAACTGAAAATAAATTTAATCCATGAACCTCAATAGTGAGTAGAGAAATCTTCAAGCAGAATGGCTGAAAAACTAGATCTGTAAATTGAGTCCTGTGCTTCAGATTTAAATATTCACAATCAAGAGAAGCATGTCAAGCTGCTTTTTATTATTTTTTAAGAAATATTATTGTAAAAACTAATCAAACTTCAGTAGAGAAGTTTAAAGATATTTCACTGTTAAGCATTTCCACTGAAAAGGTTTTTTTTCAATGCCAAATACCAGGAATACTAAAAATTGTTCCACCAGTGACTATACACACTGAGAGTAGCTCAAATTCTGACTTTTCAAAGCAGCAGGAGTGATCAGTATGGAATTTCATGCCTAATTTCAGATCTTGGTAGACAGACTGCATTATAACTAATTAAGAAAATATAACTAATTAATATCACATATCCTGATCTTCGGTCCTTCCAAGTATTTTTTGAAGTACAACTGTGCCTAAATGTAAATAGAAGTAATGCTTTATATAGATCTTCAACTCTTAGCTCAGAGTTTGTATCTAGACATGAAACTAACAGAACTAAGTTAAAATCCAGCCAGCACTGCCACAGGATGCCTGAACACTCAAATCTTCTCCAATTCATACCAAGTGTGATACAAAATATTCTTTTAATGAAAGGTCTCATATCTCTTCAAGACAAAAACATGGAGACTATTTGGCTACCTTTGTTACATATATAAGAGCTCTTCACTGGACATAAAACCTGTAACATAACACACGATTCATTATCAGAACAGATAACACACTTCACCCTTTACCTTTAATGCTGCTGTGCCCGCGTACTGCCGGCTTATGGCATCCCCGTTGTTTGCCCATATGATCTGGTAGATTCTATTGCATTTCACTGGCAAAGGCTGTTCTGGTGGCATCACACCCAGTTTTTTGAGCTGGAATTTGACATAATTAACAAATAAAAATAATACTCAATATCAGAGGTTGATAAAGAAAATGGGAACACTTGGCAAGCATTTAATTGTAACGTTTTATATGATCTGAAAAAGGAACCCATTCTGCTAATTTGTCAGATTAAACTGTTAATTAAAGTTAAATTAAACAGATTAACTGTTAGCAATGAATCACTAATTCATTGTTAAACATCATTTTACTGGATGCAGCAGTAATACATTAATTATGGATGCAGGAGTCAATCTTCAAACAAAAATTAGCGGAAGGAAAACAAGTTACTCTAGATTACTCAAGATCTAGGAAGTGTGTCTATTTCCTATAGATAACTATCAAAAGCACAGATATCACAGAGCTTTAACATAGATAAACAAGTCCATGTCTTCTATCACTAAGGAACTTGTGACCTCAAAGATGTGAAAATTAAAAAATGGAACCTCTCTCGTTACAAGAAAAAGCACACCAGATTTGTAATCTTTTGCTTCTAGACACGAAAGCAAATGTAGTGGCTCCATCTTCAAACTTACTCCTTCCCCAAATAAAACCTTAAAACTACTTTATACATTGTGTTTATTATTAATGCTTGTGCATTCTCAACGGTTGCTGTTTAACACCGATACTGAAAGTAAGATAACTTACCCTTCAGAACAACCAGTACTTAAGTTTTTCCAAGATAAGTCTTGGGTACAGTACAAACTCAGGTCTTTTTACACACACTGAATTGGTAAAGCAGCACATATGTAATTGCAATGCGGTCACTAAACGTTAGGTGAACTGGAGGGATGACTTGGACTAAATCATAGGCAAAACTCAATTTACAAACAATAAAAAAATGCTCAAGCACTCTTTGCAAGTTAGATGAAACGTGATACGAGTCTGTTCATTGACTTTGAAAGCTATCAAGTTCTCAGCTGAGAGAAAACAAGTCCTGTGGTTCCAAGGAAGTGCAAAGGCAAGGTACACTTAACTCTCAATTTTCTGAGAGAGAAACAACTATCAAGAGACAACTGATCTCCCTTCCTGCTGCACCACAGCATTTCACTTCAAAGTGACTAAAGGAGCATCCAACTTCTAGATTTTCAGTCCTTTAACATCTCATTTAGGGGAGGGATTTATTGGGGGCAAGGAAGTCTTTTGGTTTTAACCTTTGTATTACTACACAACTTAAATTAAAATGGCTCAATCATAGCAAGAGAATCCTCTCCAAGGTGTGGACTGACAGTCATTTTCTCTCTGAAGGAGGAGCCCAGGCATCACAGTTTTAGAATTATTTCAAGTTATTTCAGCTATACATACAGCTTGCAGCTTCATGGCTCTCCAAGTAGTTCACAAAGTTCCTTTTCAGCACAGGTTAGTTTAGCATCTTTCAAACACACAGATTTCCCTGTGTATAACAATTAAGTTCTGGGGCACTCAGTACTTGTAAAAGTACATCAGTTCTACATGCCTGCTGTTCCATGACCACTCTTGCAATAGCAGCCTGCACCACATTGGTACGATCCAGGCAGTCCATGCAGTTAACTCGAAAAATTCCTTCCTGTTTGCAAATCACGCCAGCTTGATCAACCCTTTCAAGAGAAAAACAGAGCAAAAGCATACTGAGAAACTTAAAATGCAGTGCAATTTACCAGCTTCCACAGTAAATTTTACACATGGAGTATTATTTATAGTTGCACTCATCACTCTGGCCACACACCACTCTGAGTTAACTACTCTTGCTCCCACCCATCCTTTTTAGTCTAGACTAGATACCGAACGTACATCCTATTGGGGCCATAGACATAAGTAATCAGATGTTGAATTCAGTTCATATGTATGAAATATAAGCTTTCAAGACAAAAGACACAATTTCAAAAACACAGAAGCCAACAGTAATGACAGCAACATCTCACTTACAAAACACATTGAACAGTATACAGTAATTGAAGACTGCAGCCATACTCATGACTGAAATGCATGAACTTTAATCAGTACAAATGAAAAGGTCAAACATGTCTACTCTTTTCAATAGTAAGACTGGCATCCTAGGGCTTCTGGGTCAAACACAAAGTGTTTCACATTAAATACAAGAAACTCTAAAAGTGTTAAATGCAGTAAAGCTCGGGCAGAAAACGGCATCAGAGCATTTCTGCTGTTACGTGTGTAGAACACCAATACCTCAACACAAAAACTCTGACGCATAAGCTGGGCACCAAGACAGGAATATAAATCAAGCCAGTTATGACAAAACCAAGGCCTCTGAATATGTAACCTTTTTTCTAGAAATATTTCATGCTAATGTAAAAGCTTTTAAATACCTACCAGCACCACTTCATGTCAAGAATAATATCATGAATAGCATCAGTCAGGGTCTGAACATTTTCAAACTTCATTCCTCGGCTAAAATACAGAATTTCACAGAAGTTAGTTTGGAGGAGAGTAGTGATTTTTGTTAACATTACAAATAATATAATTAAGTAAAGAAAGATACTGTTTAGACTAAGTGGGAGAGACAGACATTCTACCTGCAATAAACTTTAAATAGCAGTCAATACTCATAACTATTTTAAAGCACAGTTCAGTATCTAAATCCTACAGACACATCACCCCCTTCTCCTCCTAACCCACCAGGTTGTTCTCAGTATTGTCTCTGTTCACTCAAGGTCACGGTGCAAAAAAGAAACAGTCCTGGTCACTACAGCAGTTCTCAGGAGGAAAGCAAACAAATGAAAATGAAAGGCCTCTTAAACAAAACAATAACAAATCAATTCAACAGTATTACAGAAAAGAAGTCTCAAAGACCATCACTATTTTGAGGGTTTTTTCCCCTCTCAGGCAATATCTACTAATGACATTACTGACTTAGTCAGTAATGCTTTCCCAGGCCAGACGCAATCCCTAGATCAAGTTAGGAAATGAAGATCAAAACAGTTTTTAGACCTCATACTTGTACATAAATGCAGTCTACTTGGAGCATGTTCAGAGCAGAGCCACAAGGATGGTGAGGGGCCTGGAGAACAAGCCTTATGAGGAGCAGCTGAGGGAACTGGGCTTGTTTAGCCTGGAGAAGAGAAGGCTGAGGGGAGACCTCATCACCACCTACAACTACCTAAAGGGAGCTTGCAGAGAGGTGGGTGCTGGTCTCTTCTCCCAGGTGATGGAGGATAGAACAAGGGGAAATGGCACCAAGCTGTGCCAAGGGAGGTTCAGATTAGAGATAAGGAGGAAGTTCTTTACTGAGAGGGTCGTCAGAAGCTGGAACAGGCTGCCCAGGGAGGTGGTGGAGTCACCATCCCTGGATGTATTTAAAGAGCGGGTAGATGAGGTACTTAAGGATATGGTTTAGGGGGTAGACAGGAACGGTTGGATGTGATGATCTCAGAGGTCTTTTCCAATCGAGCGATTCTGTGATTCTGTGAAATACATGCCTGTGGGACAGATCACGTGCTTGGGCATGTGAACACTGCACTAGACCATAACAACATCGGAGTAATGAAAACAGCAACTATTTACACTGGATTAAAGTAAAATCCAGAGTATTTTATAATGGAAAAACAGCATCAGGGTCCTGAAAGAACCCCTCATATATTAACAGAAACAAGAAAAACAGAAGAATGGTTTGTAGTAAAGAATTAAGAGCAGAATGCTACCGTTTGAAAAGCAGGTCAGCCACAGCTTTACATTCGTAGCATGTTTAAGGAAACTCTCTTGCTTCAAAAGCATAACAACAACTAGACATTTAACAGCTCAGGGACACAAGATCAACAGACCCAAACTGGAACTTTTACAGTGCTTTAGTTTACAAAATGCATTCTTCCTTTTTAAAGGAAAAGTGTTTCATGCAGAAGTAGAAATAATAATGGTTTTTCTCCTCCTTCCTACTCTCCTTTCATGCTAATAAAATAAGATGCAAAGTGACATGTTTAAAAGGTCTCTTACCAGTGCTCATGGAAGTCAAATGAAACATAAGTCAGATTTGCATTGTTGTACAGAAGAACTTGTTTAAGGTAAGCATCTCCAATAATCTTCTCTCTGCCTGTCTGATCCACCAAGTTAATAATAACCTGTTCAAAAGTTTAATTATTTAACACTTGTCATCTGCTACACAACTTGTTCAGATATACACCATGGCATAACAAATAGCTCAAGAGTTAAAATATTTGTAGTTCTTGCTCTTTTTTAGAGGTTACCTACAAGGACACTTTAAAAACTTAGTAGAATTCTATTTATGTATCACCTTTCCAATTGTCAACAAGCTTGTAAAAAACCACAACTCATATCACCAAGAAAAACAAACTAAAAACATTAACTTGCATCCCCTGCACTTCCATAAGATGACTATTTTATCACGTAGCACTCACCTGCTTTTTGTAATTTTTCAGCTGTTCTTCAAAGTGTGCACGAAAGCAGGACACTGTTTCATTTTCACCTACAAGGCAGAGCAGATAAATAGAAAGAGCCTGTTCAGCAACAGCTGGAAGTATTAAACCATGCCCAGATCTACACTCTAAAAAACCAAGATATCTTCACTTAACATACTTAGACACACAACACCACACTGTACAGAATTACTTTTAAAGGTCTTTCATCAATTTGCTCAACTTCAACATTGTTGTTCTACCACTATAGAGTACAGGAAACACCATTACGTTTTGCTAATTTTAACTTCCTGTGCAGAGCAGATTGGACAACAAATTAACTTCTAATAAACCTGTTTAATCCTTCCACACATGCGATACAAAGCAACACAAACACCTCTTTCGAAAGAAGAGTGCTTATATTTGTTTTCCATCTTTTGAAAAAGCAAAGTGAAGTAAAAGAAAGGTTTGCAGTTTGCAAAGGACACAGGACAGGAAGTGTTATCCAGTTCTTAGAGTACAAAACTACTTGTAACTAAAATTAAAAACCACACCACTGTGATGTATCTAAAAGCCATCTAGACGTGATGCTCAGGGACATGGTTTAGAAGTGGGCATGGTAGAATTAGATAACGGTTGGCATGATGATCTTAAAAGTCTTTTCCAACCATAATGATTCTATGAAAACAGAAATCCGAATTGTCTTCCTCCCCAACCCAGAAAACACTGCAACAAATAAGGCTAAACATAAAACTGGTACTTAATTAAATATTGAAATTCAAGACCTGTTGGAATTTACAGTGGACAAGATGTCAGAGCTCTGCATAGTTGCAATTAGAGCAGGAGTTAATTGGAGTCAAGTCATTACTATTAATTCAGCCTTCTAGAAAGTGCCACTGAAAGACTAGAAGTAAAGCAACACTGCAGTGAACCTATTTCTAAGGAAGCTCTTATCTTTATGTATTACCACTCAAATACTTACTCTTGTCCAGTCGGGGCCGTGGGTTATATCTATATCCAACCTGGCTCCAGAAAACAGGCACAGAGCCTCTTGTTTGTATAAATGAAAGGGTATGATTATGAACGTGAATCAGTTGCTCTGTCTCAACATAATTTGCCACATTTCCATTTTTATCAACACCTCTTCGCTTATACCGCATTCCTAGGAAGGACGAGAGCGATCAATTAATATTTAAGTATTAGTCTTAAACATTAATAATTTTTGCTATTGTTTTTGACAATGATAACACAAGGAGAGAGTTCCACCCAAAAAATCCACAATCAATAATAAGTGTCACTCCTATGCTAGTCTAATCCCCAAATGTTATGTTGACTATATGGATAAAGTTTATTTACTGTTACACTACAAGCAATGGTAACTAAATTGACAGTGCAAGGCAGTCTACTGGCACTACATATAGTCCACCCTAACTGGTGCATTACTCCCTGTTCTGTCAAATTTAGCAGGAAGTTTTACTTCAGTACTCAGTATTTTCCATGAACCTAAAGGCCACTTTTACTGACAGATGCTCCACTCCTCACAAGCAGCCCAAGAAGATTTGCATGGGAACAGAGGACTGACTTCCCTCCGTTGTTTTAACCTGTACAACTAATTCTGCACATTAACAAAAGATGCTGCTCTTCTAACTACACTATTTTTTTGCCTAGCTACCTCTGATCTGATCATTAAACAGAACACATAACTACTTGCATATGGAGGTCTGCACATTCTTTACTCAAAGGAGAGTACATTGCTATTTCAGAAAGGATGCGGGTGGTAGCAAGGGATGGGAAAGTAAAAAGGGTTGCAGAGATTCAAGGCCATGGTTCCTAGCACAGAAATTCAGCTCCACGGAATCAGAAAAACTCTGTTTCAAGTCCTGACATAGCACTGGACCAAACATTTGAACTGAACCTCAGCAGCACTGGCTAAGAACTACAGGAGAAAAGAAAAGGGGTTATCAATAGGGCAGTGAAAGGAACGTAAAATACCTATCATACGGACATTTATAGGGTCACAAAATGTCAAAGTAGTATTACAGCCTTAATCAGACAGGGGCTTTTAGACTAAAGCATCAGACTCCCCCTTTACTTATGGTTATGCCCTGCCACCATCAGTGGCTATTACACCAAAACCCAAACTCAATCATTCCACAGGAAACTTCAGATCCCATACAGAGACTCCTACTCTCTTAAGCTTCAGAACAGCTACCTTCCTTTATCTCATGATACCTTCCCTTAAGGTCTTAGGCATGGTGATAATTTAGTGCAGTGGTTATTTTTCTTTCTTTTTTTATTTTTTTTTAATCCCTAACAAGCTGCCAGAAGATAAGAATCAGTGTATTTAATGTAGAAGTAATTTAGGCTTTCAAATCCTCTAGAGTTTTTCTAGGGGGCGAGTTTTCTCAACTACAATATATCAGAAATGAAAATAAGTAATTTTAGCTAAGAGTTCAAAGTATTACAGAGTAATATAACAGCATTACACAGTTCCATATCAAGGTAAGCTCAATAGGTTTTTTCCTTGGGTTTTTTGACCTGTTAAAAACCTGGCTGTGTAGGAAAGGAGTTGAACATAGTGTAGTGTATCTTAAAAAAGATCTGATACACTGAAGAGCCTTAGAGTTGAACAGGACCTACTAAAGTGTGAAGTGTCTTTCTTTCTATGCTTCTAAGGACAAGGAGTATTTCTTGCCTGCCTTGCAAGGTGCAAGAGCAAAGCATGGTTCTTATTTCACACCTCAGCCCTACATAAACATCTCCAGGGATGCAGGCACACACACACGTGCCTTTTCAAGTCTCTATTCAGCTGCTGTCAAAGCCCTCGAAAGGAAGACCTTTGAAAATTTAAGTCCCACCCAGGCCTACTGAAATATTTGCAAAGATGGAACATTATCTCTGAACTGTGACCTCCAAAGATGCACGCAGTGCAGATACAGCTCTAGGTAGCAGCCGTGTAATGCTGATGTACTACAGCCTTTTTTTTTCATCCTATGAGCAGGAAAGGCAGCAGCAAATGCTTCAACAAGAGCTGAGCATCTGCTGAACAACACAGCACTCTTTGGAGTTTCGTCTTCTGCATCCCTCTCCAGTGTTCAGGAACAATCCCAATACCTTGAACTATGTTTGCCTACCAGCTCTGTGCCGACTCCGGCGTGAAATAAGCGCCACCAGAAATGTTGGATGAACGTCATCTACACAGGTTGATTCCTGAGGAGGAGTTTCAGGACTGC